CACAGCAGAAGGGCAAAACTAATGCAATTATAGATGATGTCCAGAATATATTACTGGTATCTGCTGGGCAATAAGCTGTATTATTATTCCCCTCTATCTATGATTTTGGAGGGTCTATTTTATCTAATTCCTGAAGCAAAGTTAACTCCTATCAGTGAAACCTCCAAAATAATCATGATAAATCTAAAAACTTTTTGTTTGGTTGTGTTTTATTTAAAAGCAATACACCTGGATTTAGCGAGGCAGATGGCCTCCTTATATCTAAGTGATAAGGAAAGTTAGAAATTCTCCTACTGTCAGAACTACACAGCACTAAAATGCATAAAGGCAAAGACACAAACCCCACACATAGGCCATAGAATATTAAAGCCTTATATGTGAATTAGAATTTGTCTTAGTAATGAAATTTTTAAGTCCGAACAATCTCTCTATTCACCTGGAATGGCTGAAAGCCAAAGTTACCAGCCATGCTTGTCAAAGAGTTGGCTTTGTTGTGCCCATCTGTACAGTATTAGCATCTTACTCCATCCCAATTACACCACTGCACAAAAGGTACCTGTTAAGACTATTTAACGTAAGTCAGCCTATTAGCCAGGCTTCTATATCAGCCTTGGAACTGCACCTTTTCCTCTGAGTCACAGTCATTACCCAATACTTACCTGATACTACAAAGGAAAGAATCAAAGTATCAACACTATAAGCTTTAGTCACTATTTTCCTGTAATAATATTCCATTTTTTAAATGAAACCATTACTATTTTTTCCTGTCTTCCTGAAAGTAAGCGTGTGGGAGTTGGTGAGAAGCACTAGACTTGCAAAGTTCCTATGCTTGACATACTTATACTTGACACACACAACACAGATTTCTCACTAGGTAACTCCCATGTACTGTCACTGTAAAGATGCAGACTCCATTCTTTCTATTCTATTTTGCTGCCCTGGACTTTTGGTGAGAAGACATCAACTTTTTATCAGAAGAGGGTATGGACAAGAGAACAGTGCTATTTGATAAAACTGAAAAGTAGAACATGTAGAGCATGAATGAATGCATCACTGAAGTATTAAGGGAAGAAATTCTGAATTCCAGACAGCCCAAATTTAAAAAAGTAAAAATATTTTAAAAAAGAAAAAAAAAGAAGAGTGGGAACAAAGTTAAGATAAAAGCAGTTTTGTATTTTCATTCAATTTTAGGAAGTCAAATGTTCTTTCAAAAAAAAAAAAACAAAAAAAACAACCACCAAACCACACACACTAACTTAGATTCAATTAGCTAAGGGGAATTCCCAGCTTCCACGGAAAACACAACCGTAAGACAAAAAACTGGTTTGGTAATTGTCTTCTCCTAAGGAAATACCTTCTTAATAACAAATATTCATCTTAATGTTGCTAGTCACAGTTGCAGCTATCTTGCTTCACAGTTCTCAAAACAAAGATATCACATTTACATAAAGTGACCCAATAAGAAAAATCCGTTAAGTCCCCAAATAAGATCTATGAATATAACAAAGAAAAACACAAACACAGCTTTTAGATACAACTGAATGCTGGAATTGTATAATATACCAAAGACTTCATGTGCCAGAAATATACAAATCACCAATGCTGAGCACAGATGATCAGGATCTTAGGACGAGAGGAAATGGCCTCAAGTTGTGCCGGGGAGGTTTAGATTGGACATGAGGAAAAATTTCTTTACTGAAAGAGTGGTTAAACATTGGAACAGGCTGCCCAGGGAAGTGGTGGAGTCCCCATCCCTGGAGGTATTTAAAAGACGTGTAGATGAGGCGCTTAGGGACATGGTTTAGTGGGCATGGTGGTGTTGGGTTGACAGTTGGACTCGATGATCTTAGAGGTCTTTTCCAACCTTAATGATTCTATGATTATTTCTACACAATCTAGAGGGGAAAGGACAGAGAGACCACAGCTGAGCTGATCCAGTGATCACTTCCTTTCTCAGTTCACACATTGCATTGTGGTTTGGCAGAGTTCTGCCTGGATTAGAATAAAACAATGTTTGCTTTTTCAACTTTTTTGGTTTCGATTAAGTTTTCTCTTCATACCTTAAGAGTACAAAACATCCTCCAGATGTTCCTGAAGCTTACATTTCTAGGAATCAAATCTTAGGATCAGAGGATAATTTGGGCTGGAAGGGACCTCGGGAGGTCTCCAGTCCAACCTCCTCTCAAAGAAGGGCCAGGTGTGAGGTCAGACCAGGTTGTTCAGGCTGCGATCCAGTCAGGTCTTGAAAACCTCCAAGGATGGAGATTGCACAACCTCTCTGAGTGACCTGGTCCAATACTTGACTGTCCTCTTGGTGAGCACATTCCCGATACTCAGTCAGAACACTTCTTGATTTGGTCTATGTTACCGCCTCTTGTCCTCCTGCCATGCACCACTGTGAAGAGCCTGGATATCTCATCTTGATGAACTCCTCATAGGTATGGAAGGCTGCTATTCAGGTTCCCTGAAGTCTTCTCCAGGCTGAACAAGCCCAGCACTCTCAACCTCTCCTCACGGTGCAAGTGCCATAGCTCGCTCACCATCTTGGTGGCCCTCCATTGAACTTGTTCCAGTTTATTGATGTCTTTCTTGGAGCCCAGAACAGATTTTTTTCCTTCTGCAGTCAACTGTCTTGGTAACTAAGAGGGAGCCTTCTATATGATACTCAATGGATAATGCTGCTTTAATTAATTTCAAAAGTTATTAACCAAATGAACATTTAATTCAAGATTGTTAACAATTACATGAGCAATGAGGCTACTTGAATGTACAATTGTCTGTCAGTAGTTAATAACACCAGTCAGCATCTCCCATTTCAGCAAGATGCAAGTGAACTATGAAATATATTAAAGCTTTTAATTGCAGTTGATATTTAACAGTCACATGGAAAACATCCTTTGCTACACAAACTTTTGAATAAGAGAAAATAGAGGCATGTTTTACCATCCCACAAGCCAGAATCTCCCACACTAGGACTGTTACAGCTTTGGAGCAATTCATTCTTCTCAAGACCATGTCAGAAGATTGATATAAGAATTAAAAGCATTGTAAGTGATCAATAGCACTATTATACTAGACAGGAACTTCAGAAACAGTTGTCTTAGTTAATTTTGGGATCCATTACATGGGAAGAAATAGGTTTTTTTTAAACATGCCTGATAATTTGTTCCTTATACACCTTTTATACATTTTGCTTTTCTTAACAGTAACTGCTCCTTGCCATGTAACATACATTCCCTGACTGCAAAAAAACCAATTGATACATATTCTTGGTCTTCTGGCATAGAACAGCTAGTCATGAAGTAGAAAAGACTACGTGGAGGTCTCTAGGTCTATATTTCTACAATGGTGATTTGCCTGGGATACAGCATAGCTGTTAAATACAGTTGACGCTGCAGAGAACCAAACAACCTTCATTTAGAACAGGACAGAATATTTGGGGATACACAATTCTAAGACCTCCTAAGAGGCGCCCTTAAATATATAAAAAAATTGGCTGGGAAAAATCTTTTAAAAGATTATTCAGAGAGAATTAATAACTTCAGAATAAATGAGTTGTAAAAACAATTATTAATTTTTTTTTTTTACTCACTAAAACAATTTCTGAATATTTTGCACCTACAAGTGCATACAACAAACCTAAAAACACAACTAAGTGAAACTCCCACAGAATCAGTTGGTTTATAGAACAAAATGTATACTAAATTCTCCAATTAAAAACCTGTAAAGTAGTTTCCGTGCTTTTTAACCCACCTTCCCACAGCAGGGAATTAATCCCTCCAGGGGGATGCAAACGAACTTCAAAGAGAAGATTATACCCAGACACTAGTACTGTACAATGTAATGTTTATGGTCAAATTTGTTCAGATTTTCTGGCACTGGAATCCAGGTCAGATGTGCAGAAACAAAGACTAGTTATTAAAAGGGCTCCTGCAGTTACATCAAATAGTCGTGATGGCATATAGCAGTAGGACAAGCCAAAACTGTACTCCAGTTACAACTCCTATGGAGGCTTTGGCAGTAAATGGAAGAGTTGCAGCTATTTGACTTTTGCTGGTTGTAACAAACAAATACAGATATAAAAGGAGATAAGTGGCTTTCCAGTCAATAAAATATAAAAATCCCTTCCATTGGTTCATTATACCATATATACAATACACACATGATCATTTCATAAAAGATAAAAGAAATATTACTTCAGCATATATTGACTAATCATAATTATTTATTTTTGACATCCCTCCTTTTCCTAACATTCTAGAGACTGATCTCTCAAAACAGTACCTTGAACTAAATTCTGGGATTACGAACTTCAGCCTTTGCTTTTCCTGCTTATTTGATCAAGTTCCTCAGGTTTAGAAAAAAGTGCAATCAAAAATTCACAAGTATACTTACATGTTGGTGTCAGCAGTTATGGGACTTCTCTAGCTTAAACATAGGAATACTTGTCAGAAATAATATTACAGAAAAATACTTTTATAACTATGGCTCGATAACAGTGTTTGGTAAAAATAGTTAACTAAATTATAAGCTGTGTTCATGCCTTATTTCTAGGTAAAATCATTTGATCAAAGGAAGAATTCTGAGAACAGATAAAAATACTTCTGTAGACAAGTAAGAAAGAAGTAAAAAGAAATTCCACGCAAGAAGTTTTACAGTATTTTTTTGTTTTAAAACTACCCATTCCGTATATGAGCAGCAAATACAAATTTGAATATGCGTTTACTTTTTCAATCTAATGAAGTAAGAGTTACTTCTATTTTAAAAGACAAAAAAGGCAAAAGAGTCAAGGAAATCAGAAAATTGCCCATAATCAGGGACAGAGGCAGGAATTTCTCATTATTAGTCCTAACTGTAAAAGATTCCACAGAACCAGTGATTAAGATATCTTTAAAAGCTAGAACAGCATAATATTAAGTGTACTTCATTATCTCACAATACGTGGTTCTTAAGAATACTTTTAGCCAATAAATAGGTAGAATTACAGTGCAAAACAGTACCTTTCCCAATGCAACTGATTCCTGAATAGGTTACTTCTGCATACACTTCAAAGGTAGTTTCTGGATTTTGTCTGAAAGAAAAAAAAACAGTATTTAGCACATTGAGAATTTTTTTCCAAGTGTGCTTTCAATTACTTAGTCAAAAAGGGTTCTAAGAATGCATACGTTACAATGACAACTTGATAAACTAGATTTCTTGTTTCATAATCTGATGATTTCACATCAGATCTTTCTGCCTTACTAGTATGTAACAAGATATGACTGAAGCTCAGATGAGTTAGTATGAACAGGGTGTCTAAAACTTTTACAGAGAAAAAAAGAATTAAAACAATAGAAATCAAGCACACGGAACCTTTAAGCCAATTCAACTGTTGTGACTAGTCTGCATTTCTAGGTACTCAAATATCACAGGCCTATCATTCAGAACTTTGCCAGAAAAATAAAACCATGCCTTTTATATCAATTTTCAGAATGCTACTCAGATAGAGAAACAACACTTATTTCAGTTCTTGGCCACAATAGTAATTTTGATTACGTGTGCAACTTGCAAAAGCAAGTTCTTTTTATTTCACCTTTACTTTCAAATGAGAAAGTAAATCACCTATGTGCTAAATACAGGGATTTTTTTCAGGAAAAAAAAAATCCTGAATATGCTTTTCTCTTCACCAAACTGAAAACCGTCACATTGTCCAGCAAGGGACAAACAACCCAGATTCCCATTTTCATTACTGTGACCCTTGAGTTCAACTTCATGACACCTATTTGCTCAGGAAACAGGAAAAAAAAAAGAAGCTGCAGTCAAGAGTATGCAAAGTCATTTTATGCATACTTTACTGGAAAACTTAAGAGGCTGTATTTAGGATGAAGACACTTCCCCTCTTTAATACCTGTCAAAATATTTCTCTTTGTCAAAAAAAAGGCCATGCTGAAGAATATTACAAATGGACAAGGTTTCACCTCATGAGACTCCAGAGTCTTAAATCCAGAAAACTGCCAGATGCATGCGAAATAAGGAAATAGGTGCGATAGTAAAAAATTATACCAAATCCAGCTACAAAATGTAAATGAAGCTTGAGGAAAGAGAATTATTCTGCTCCAGAACTGTAAATATACCAGTAATAAAAAGTTAATGACAGAAGACTTAAAAAACCCCTAATATTTAATGTACATCTTCAGTTCTTACTAATATAACTCCATAAGTGACGCTCTGGAATTACATTTCATAAGGAGTATGTAAAGTTAGCAGGTGATTATAACATAAAGCGTATCTTGAGTTAAATTCTTGACTCTAACAATTTTAGCTACTCCAAAACTTTTTATGAGATCAAAGAGAATCACACATTAGACTGCAGTTGTTTACTTACTGAAATAAGGATTTTGTAAGTCTGAACATGTGACATTTTATTCTTAGACTTTCTGGTTAAAACCAAGAATCAAAATTGCATAATTACTGCTCTAAATTTATGGCTGCCTGTACAGTGATAATATTGTCTCCTATGTGTTAATGTAAACTATCTAACATTAGAAAATTGTTGAGGTATAATTACTTGTGAATTTCGTTAGCTGCCTTACAGCTAAGGATGAAAATAACGACAAAACCCATGCGTGCGCTAGTATTCTACCTGAATAATAATTTTAAAAAAATGAAACTCATCTTACGTAGCATCTCAAACCAAACATGTCGAGGAGTTCAGCCTACTCTTCAGAGAATTTCTATTATTTTTAATCCTACTTTAACACCAAAAGGGATTAAACAAAACATTTCTAACCATGCCACGGGCCCACTTAGTGTTACTCAAGTGGCTCTAAGCCAAACCCCACACCTTTTAAATTGACATAAAAGCTACCATTGGTTTCAGTAGCATATGATCACACTCTACAGTTTTACAGAGCACCTCTCAGGAGCAACAATGGTTCACAATTCAATTAATGTTAATTTAATTTGCCACCAGTTCCAAACTGATTTGTCTTAAGTAGCCATTTTTCAGAAAACTACATTCATAAGTTATGAGAAAAATAAAATCAACAAATCAACTATTATTTTCCAGTATAAACCGAACTTGCATAATTCTCTCTGTGCTACTTAGAGTTGCTGCATATAATCTGCTTCGAATATTGAGATTCTTAGCTACATTCCTACAATCATGGTACAGGATGAGGGTGAAATGATATCCACGTAACACCAAAAATGTATTTTTCCTTTCATACATATTGCTGTGCAGCCTTATCTTACCCTCCTTGTTTTTGTCTTTATTTTTAGCACCCTGTTTCCTTAATTAAAAGTTTATAAATTTTATAATATTTTACAGCTAATGGATAAAATAACAAACACCTTTTTAGTATTATGTTAGGGTCTGTGTTCAAATTCTTTAGTGAAAAGACTGTATAACACAGCTGGCAAGAGCACATACTACATACCAAAACTTTAAGACAAAAAGACATCACATTTTGTATTTTAACATTCCATGACAAATGCCCACTTATTTCTATGAACAGTGAAATTAAAGTAGCTTTGCCAAGTCAGAAACTTACTATTAAAGGCTGCATTCAACAAGCTAACACCTCAGTATGAGAATGAAGTCATTGTTGAATTCTGAATATTTTATAACTTTTCAGTGGAATTAAGGAAACAAGTCACTATGAGACTTCATACAGTTCGCAAATATAGCATAAACATGCATCATAATATGTATATTTTGCAGTCCATTTTTATGACTATTAAACTACCCTGCAGACATCTAATGCCACCTGTGCATTGTATTGAAACCTCAACACACTGAAATCATCCACAACATTATAACCTTAAACACACACACACACACAGAGTTTTCTTTCCTCCCAATAACCACTTAAAGACCCATGGTCAGTTATCAAGTGAACATACAGATGCAATAAAAAATATACACAGGACATGTACAAAAATACATAGCACCCCATCTACTTGATAACTGGATAATTTCAGAAGGAAATGCAATACTTTTCTGTAAATAGAAATTTAGGAAGGAGCTCTATGAGAAAAGAATGCTTTTGTGCTAAATGCTAGTTGTATGAATTACTTCAAATCTCTCTGATGTAGAAATAGCTTTAGTATCAAAGCAAAGAAATTAAATTTTACATTGAAGTAATATCTTAAATAAGATATTTATTTACCTTTACAATCAAAATTATTAGTTTTTACCAAACTGCAAGAGATTTGTACAGAATAAAATTAAATAAAGTCCTTCTCCAAAGCTGTATGTATGGAAGTACATACCTTACATATCTAAAGCCTATTTCAATTCTGTCAGCAGCATTTTTTTCTACACATAGGAAAACTGAATAGCACTTATGACAGAAAGTATCATTCTACTTAAAAATTGAGGCATAAGAGAGGAGCCTGACACTGATAATTAGTTGTCTGGTAACAAGACTAACTTGCTCAACTCTTGCAGAAAAAACTTACTAGCAGAAATCTGTAATTGCTAATTCAATTCAGAAATTGCACCTCAATCTCTGATTAATTTACAAATATTTAACTTTTTCTGCCTGGTATTCCCTAAATAGATATTACATTTCAGTATATAGCAAACTTTATGTTAAATATCCAGAAGCATTCCCAGATTAGTATTAGGGATCTCTTCTGTCATCACTGAAATACAACCACCTCTGGAAAGGAACATGCCAAGTTTTTTTACGGTGCAATGCAATTCTGTTGAACAGATTGATATTGACACATTATTTAAAAAAAAAAAAAAAATTCCATTCTTTCTTGTAACGTCTTGAGTACTGAAGGCTACCAAGAAGTGATAGCAGCCAGGTTAAATAGATTAAGATTAAGATCTTAAAATAGATTCCTATTTTACGTTACCTCACTGGCACAGAGTGCCTTGCATGTACCATATGACATGCCCCAACATGAAGCTTAATCCAACAGTGTAACCCAATACTCAATTTACCTTTTTTCGCCTGCAGCTATACACAAGCCAAAAGCTTACAGGATTGCTGGCAACTTCTTGATTTCTTTCACTTCAGTCTGATGCAGCTACTTTCCTCTAAGCAATCTTTCACTCAAATGACTCATTACTATACATCCATCAAAAATATAACTGACACATATCTCCAGGTTTCATGCAGAGTATATCACAGTATGTGCAAGTGAGTATGTGCCAAGGAGTTTAATATCCCTCATAATTATCAATCTATAGCAAGAAGCAAGAGATCTGACTACTGGATTTTTGCTAGGGCTCCAACACATATTGGCGATGCCACTAAAGGAGACATGCCTCAGTATACCCAATTATAAAATAGTTCTCATTCACGCTCCCACCTGCCCCAGTAAGGGAGCTACTTATCAACTTGAAAATCTTTGCTAGATTAAACATCCAGCTCAGAACAGCAGAGCAGAATAGCCTCTTACTCAGGCTCTCTCATTCTTTACATATTTCAAGATTGTTTTGAAATTTTGTCCTTACTCTACTTGGGCATAGTGTTCTGTCCGAAGTGGAAAAAAGCAATTTATTAATTGTTGCTCAAGGCAAAGTTGCTTAATCACACAACAGACAAAATGCTTTCTCACAGAGTCCAAGAGGAACGAAAAGTAATGGTTACATGGGGTTATCACCTATGTTTTCCTGGTGACAGAGACAGACTTTGGGCTTCGTCTGTAATCTTGAAAGATTGCACAGAAAAAGCCCTAAGGTCCATTGGCTGTAAGAAATACTTCCAACTGCTACATCTCCTCACTGATACCAGTGAGGCTTCCAGTTGAAGCATCTTATCTGAGTGATTACATTCACATTCAGCAAAATGTATGCAAAGTCAAATTAGCAATGAAAAACCCAAAGATGGTAAACACAGCTTGTGGATTCAGTATGTACACAAAAGAAACTACATTTTAAGTGAGCGTCAGCCTTTTAATAGGTTTAAGATAAGGTCATCATAAGAAGTCATTTCAGATCATAATCTTGAAGTGACCACTGCAAGATCTGGAGGTGCAAGTTACAGATATAGACTGCTCTGCTGTCTAAATAGTAACAATGTTACATTCTACCTGTATTTGAATGTAAGCTAAGAGTTTAACTAGTTTCTCAGACTTTGATTTTTTGTAGCAACAGTTGAGAACCCATATACCAAAAAAAGTGCAAAAATTATCCCCACAGTATCTCCCGAAGAAGGAAGGTTGCTTTCTGGAACCAACCAATCACCTCAGTGCTATCATTAAAAGCACTCATTATCCACTTACATTTTCCTAAAACACCTGGCTGAATAGACACACATTTATGTCTATCCAGCCTATGGGCTTGGAAACATGAAGATGTGTCATCACACTAAGGACACTACAACCTATGTCTCCTCCAGTCTCATATTCAAGTTAAACAAAAGAGGTGAAAAGTTAAAGCCCTATGTAATCTTGAAGAACACTATGTTCAAGAAGGAAAAGCAATTGCTCAACAGCACCTACTGAAAGTACTGAGTAAAATACAATCTAACTGGATCTCTCCACTCTATCAGACCTTTCATGGACAAAGATGTCAGCACTGCCTGCTTGGTGATAGCTTTATTACACCTCTACCTGTCTCAGAGGAACTGAATTTGCCTGGAATGGCATATGAATGAACTGAGATCTTTAAAGTGACAATATCAAACATACCAACAGGGCTTACCAATAAATCAACCCCCAGTTTTATGAAAATTAAAAAAAATATTGAGGGCACGGAGCTGCAGGCCCAACACATTAATCACTTGCACTGCTCTTCGCCTTCCCCCAAAGCCCCTTGCTAATGCACTTTCAAGATATCATAGCTAGACTACCCATCCTTACTTTAGCACACTCTAACCTAGGCAAGGAGGCTTTGAACTCTCTCGACCCCACCACACCCCCAAAACAGACGTCACCGGTTCTGGCAATGAAGACTTTCCCATTCCAGCAGCCCCAATCCTCCTTACGGCCTGCACCGATAAAATTCAAACTGCCCTCACAGCCTGGCCCTACGCGCTACCACACGGAGAACTGAAGACAGGGAGAGAGAGAGTAGACAACAGACCAGGTTTGGGCTTGAGGGCGGGAAACGATACTCTCCTCCCCTCCTCAGGGCAGGGGGGACGGGGAGCTCCCCGCCCCGGGGTCCTGCCGCCGAGTTGGGGTTTGACGGCATGGGGCCCTCTGCCCTGCCGCCTCCTCCCTCCCCGGCCCGCGAGCTGGCCTGGGGGGGGTGGGAAGCACTCTTCCCCCTTCTTTCTCCCCCTCTTTCTCGCCCGATCCCGAGGCCTGTAGGCTCGGCCGGGGTCTCGCCCGCGCGGCCTCACAGGGAGCTGGAAGGAGGGCGGGGAAGTCCCCTTCTCGCTCTCCAGAGCCCTCCCGCTTTCCTGAGGGCCTGCAAGCGGGGCTGGAGAGCTCCGGGGGGCACTCACTTGATCCTGGATCCCATGGTCTCTGGGGGGCCGCATAGGCCCGGG